TTTTACAGTATAATTTGGGTGGGTTGGAATGTACTGAAGCTGTGCCAGGACATGGAAGTTCAAGCGAGATGTGCCACTTCCAAAACCGAGCCAACAGCCCTAAGTGAGAAAAAAAGCGACGAGGGTGAGATACGAGCGTCGAATGTGTGTGGAAGGATCGACTGCTTATAACGCACGCGACAGAAGGTCTGGGCTATACTGTGTATATACTTTGCATGCATATATGTATATGTATACAGTATATATATGTTATATTATGTTATATACATGTAACTCTTTGTAAGCCACTTCAATTTCTACAGCCGGTGCTTTGACTAACCGTAACTGGAAGTGTGCGCCATTAAAAACCAGAGTGAACACAGCGATTTTAGGGCTTTGGAGGTGAAACGCGCCCGTGGTCCAAACGCCGCAGTTTAATCCGCACTTTCTGAAATGCCCTGATCGATCAATTCTTTGATTGACATTTCAGCCACAGCTAGCAGATTTACGTATGTTTTTTTTGTATATATACTGTATATGATCAGAACTGGCCTAACAATTCTATATACATCCCGAATCTTGGGTGGCGAACTCCCATCGAAACTCGGAGCCACTCCATCTTCGGAACCGTTCTTGCGCGTGAATGGTTCTTCCACGCAGCGAGCAACAGGTGAAGGTGTTGGTGTCCTCGACCTGGCAGCGGGACAGTGGCCAGGTCGCCATCCTCTCAGGGGGTGGCAGTGGCCATGAACCCGCAGACGCTGGCATGACGCTTGGGTGTCGCACGGAACTGCTAAGGCCCTTTGGAACCCCCAAGTGACATGATTGTGTTCAAGCACTATCGGGCATGGAACCTCTTTTTGGAGTTCCATCTGGCTGGTGAATCTTGTTGAATTTCTGGGCTCATGCTGATTGGAATTCCGGTAGTACGTGTAGGGCCTATAATATGTTTGACCCAATGCTCGCATCCAAGTGGTTTTGTACATCTCAGTTTCGGACTTTGTGACGGTCACAGTTTCGGTGACAGAGAGATGCTTCCCTTGGGCCCCCCGAACGTGGTGGAGACGGTGGAAGTTCCGGTGGAAGTTCCTGTGGAAGTTCCGGGGATCGGCTGTCTTGAATGTTCATGTGGAACAGCCAATCAGGACAGTAAGGACAGTATACCACGACCAATGAATTCTTGGAGAAGGTGACAGGAAACAGCTAGCCAGACATGAATTCTTGGAGAAGGGGTTCCGTAAAAAGTATCGGTGTCATTCGGTGTCAACGGCCAGCCGTACACCACAAGGGTATTGTAATTGTCAATGTTTTGTAAGTCTACCATGTCTACCATGTCATGAACTCAGGATTGGCGATGGGCTGCTTACTGCCGTTGTTTGTCGCCAAGCTGAACAGGTTGAAGATTGTTGAAGAATCTACTGTAAATATTTGTGAGTCTCCAACTTCCCTTTGTCCCGAGCGGGCAGGTCTCATCCGACTAAGACCTATCAAAGTGCAGCCGAGATAGATGAGACAGATAGAACAGAAAAGTGCCTGATTGTTTGAACTGTGTGTTGGAACGGCAGCAGTGCTTTGTTTGTGCTAGGTGGGGTGGCAACCAAGAACCTGAACTCGTGGTGGATGAGTTTTTAGACTGAAAAAACATTATTAACACACACACACACTCGTTTTTGGCTTTGTGCTACTGATCTATTTCGGAACGTGCTGCGATCGAAAACCGTTGGAGGACTTAGGCCGGACACCGGACAACACCCTTGCTTGCTGTGGTGACTGATGCCCAGACCGGGGTGCATATCTCTCATTTGTTGGGCGCTTTTTCTAGGTGGCGAGATTTTTGCTTCGCCTTCCGCATTTGCAGTTGCACGTGCCTTGGAGGCGGGTGGACGCAAGTTGGCGGCTTACAGACCACTCATGCTGCAACTCAAATTCTTCATAGAATTTCTTTAGTAGGGGGCTACTGGGTCAGCATTGGGTGGTTTGTTGGAGGGAAGGTCACTTTTGGTGTGTGCAGGTTGTTCACACTAAGGTGCTACGTAAGAGACATAATTGTGCTTGCCTCAAACTCCAGGATAGGGGCCGGGGCTTTTATGTTCCGTGATGATCAGTCATGGAGTCATGGACACTATAGTTTGTTTTCCCGCAGTTCTTATTTGTTTATATATTGTCGATTGCGGAGCAGGACAGGTATGCAACATGCAAAATGGCGGACAATGCACAGAGCATAGGCAATGCAGCGTTTGGTTAACGCGACTAATTGTGCAGTCAGGCAACAATGTGCATCTATTTTTGCATTTGCCCACCCATTCCCCCCAAAAAACGCACTTGAAAGAATTACACAAGTCCAATTGCCTGGCTCTTGACGACAGTGGAGGCCGTCACTGGTACAGCTGGAGCGCTGGTGGTCATCCGCAGCAATGCCGGTCACTGGGTTGGAGACCGTTGGAGGAGAAGTTGGATGAAGAGTTGTGGAGCCACCTCCAGGCATACCCTCCGACGAACAAACCACATGGAAGTGGATGTTTGCATCGGCCCCGAAAGGAAGACGACTCTCCAGAAAAGTATTCAATCCTTTTGTGAAGTGATGTGTTCATCAGAGTGTAGCGGCTACCAATGGATTGTCTTGGGGGTTTTAAAGGAGTTCCGAGCAAGTGTCCTTTTGGAAGGCTGAAGATGCAATGCTCAATTCCGCGTACAACCTACAACCCGAAGGTTTTCGCGGTTAAACACCTGCACCCAGTGGGCCCAGTCGAAGACTCCATTTGGAAAACAGGGACCCTCAATAAGGAACTTGTGCTCCAACAATATGGTCCTGGTCTGAGAATTGAACCACTGGCTGTCACTGGCTTTTGGTGTCCCCAGTCTTCGAGGATTTTCACCGTTCCCCAGGGGCCTCCGCTTGCGAATTGGAATGTCTCACATTTGAGGCACCCGATTGAACTTCAAGTCTGCTGTGAAAGAGGTACAGCTTCTTGGCAAACAGGAAGGGCGCTTTCGGGTCTATGCATGCAGCTGGCATGATCATGATGTAAAGCTAAACGTGTAGTGAAGCATTGAACGTTTGAAGCTATGATTTTGCGGAGATATGTGCGACTCTTGTGCATGTTTCCCTCTTGGTCGTTCTTATTTGTTGTCTGGGGGGCTAAAGAGCGTGCATTGGCTCGCCATGTTCATGAATTTCTATCAAGTGACCGCAGCAAGAACTCAAACATTTTGAAACCCGGTGCGTTAGGCTATTTGTGCTCAGCCCAACGCACTGGGTGTGTTTTGTTTTTATCCCCCACGGCTTCGCAAAAACCGAGAACGGCAGAACGCTTGGCCGGGCCGCCTGGTCCAAGGAGCCGTTCGCAGCTCAATGTCAAGGTGGTTTGCGTCTCCGACGATGTAGCCACCAGCAAGAGGAGCCGTGATGGGCAAGGCAACGCTTTGCTCGGCATTCGCAAGAGAAGACAAGGTTAGATGTGTCAGCAAGGCTAGATTAGTCGTACAATGTTGTATTGAAAGGTGTTGTTGACATGTGATCTTTGTGCGTGTCCAATTGTAACAGTCATTTAAAGGGTCTACGTCTACTGTCTACTGTTTAACTCTATATATAAAAGTAGCACCATGGAATCACCATGTTTCTCTAAGCTACATTTTGTTGAACAGGTGTTCTATTTTTAGTTAACAGAGGGAGACCGTCCACTGCAGACATTTGGTAGAATTGTACGGCAAAATTTGTGCGCTTGCTCGCGCAACTTTTCGTGCTATTCTTCGTGCCGATTTGTGCACCTGCTCGTGCAACTTTTCGTGCTATTTTGCGAGCTTCCTCGTGCAACTTTTTGTGCTATTCTTCGTGCTCATTCTGGGGCTTGCTGGTACATCTTTCCTACTCAGTTGGCAGCTTTTGGTG